AGGATAGTAAAACCTGACATTTTTGACATTGTGGGGACCGGCCTGTGGTCGAGGGGTAGGTTTAGGTTTAGGGTTAGGGTTGGATTAGGGGATAAAAATATTGTTTGGTCAGTATAAAAGTAATAGAAGTCTACGGAAAGTCCTCACAATTCACAGAAACAAACGTGTGTGTGTATAAACCACCTTTTGGCATTGTAGACTTTCATATATGTTTTATTCTTGATAAAACATGGAGAATAAAATAAAGGAGATTTAGAGGATGTACACTGGATAGACTTTTTCCAAACACCACACCAAAAGAAAAAAAAACTGTGGATTGATCAAAGGGTTTACCTCAAAGTCTCTATCTTACAGTTAGGATTCTCCAGTCCAGTAGCAAGATGCCTCACTCCTGAGTCTCCTAATGAATTGCCATATAGATCCAACACTTTAAGGTGAGATGGCTTTCCTTTGAGTGCTGAAGCCAAAACAACACAGCCTCTCTCACTGACATCACAGCCAATCAGACTGCAAAGAGAACAAGAGGACAGTCTTCACTTTACCTGTTCATGACATAGCCCTGCAAACTTAGCTGTGGCATGTAATGTGAAACAACAACAACAAAAACAAAAATGTACACAACTTAATAGGAAAATACCATCACAAAATCACTTTTTAATTTGTAGCACGTTGTTGTACATTGTACCCTCAGTGTGGACTCATATAAACACCAAGCAGTGTTAATTTAACATTATTTTGTTATGTGCCACAGAACCAGAACACAGTGATGATTTTACCTCAGTGTGTCCAGCTTATTTTGAGGATTCTCCAGTAGACCTGAGAGCATCTTTATTCCAGAGTATCCTAGTTTATTCCTATCAAGAGCTAGATTTCTCAGATGTGAGGGATTTGATCTCAGAGCTAAAGCCAAAGCAGTACAACCTTTATCTGTTAGGCCACATCTCCAAAGTCTGTTAAGAAAAATAAAAAAAGTGTAAAACTTAGACCTTTAACCAAGAAACATTTAATTGATTTCTTATCTCCGCAGACAGAAAATAACTGGTGCAGAGAAATCATCACTATTTCACTAACCTAAAACAAAGAACAACTGCACTGTGGATTTTTTCCTGAATTGAACATTTTTAACATGGCTGCCGGAGCGAAATGTAGCCTGACAAACCAATTTAATTATATTAACCTTGCAATCAGCTCTTTTATAGGATACTAATTATAACTGAATTGTGCAGCACAGACCAGTTATATGTATAACTGAAGTCTGATTTGTTTACTTTTTTCACAAGTGCTGCTCACACCACCAGATCTCCAGAGGTGGGGTAAGAAGTGCAGTAACTTTCAGAAGATGATGTGACCCATCTGTGTGACCAATTTGAGGTTTACCAAGAATTTTCAACATGAAAGCACTGCGTTTGACTGTAGGTCAATGGATGAAATCAAGCAGTTAAAACAGCTGAACTTTAAACAGCACTAACAAGGAACATCTCAGTTACTTGTATAACCCTAGCTCCCTGAAGGAGGAAACGGAAACATCACATCGGTGACCGACAAATTGGGAATCTTGCCAGAGAGACCAATCTACTTTGAGTGTAAACTAAATGAGCCAGTGCACATTGGCATGCGATATTTGCATCTGACTGCCACGCCCTGCAGCGTGGATATAAATAGGCAGTAGGTGCAACAAATATTCAGGTTTTCGCTGAGGAGCCGAGCCGGTGACCTAGCCGCTCAGCGGTGGTACAGCAGCTGTGGCGACGGGACGTGACATCTTCGCTCCCTCCTTCAGGGAACCAAGTTCTAAGTGGAACTTACACATACGGACTAACCCCGTAGGGCCGTACTGCATATATAAGTCTCTGGGGTTGCTCAGACCCAGTTAGGGCGGCTACACCTTTGCAGAGACAAGACACAGGCTTAGAAGCTATACTGTGGAAGAATACACATATGGGATCCCCTCAGGGTCACTACATATGGGCACCAAGCCTACCAGCGGTTTCAAGAATACAGCAAATTTGGTCTGGCTGCCAAAGGTGATGGAGGAACTCAACAGCGTTTGCCCAACAGGGAACTCTCTGGCGCAAAATAAGCACGTACTATGTCGCAGCAAGCTGACACTGAGCCAGGGCTTCTCTATGCTTTTACCCATTTGAGGTGAGAACACAGGAGGATACCGGCTCAACACGAAGGCTATAGAATCTAGCAAACATGTTGTGTGTTGCCCAGCCCGCAGCTCTACAAACATCTGTCAGTGAGGCGCCATGTGCCAGTGTCCAGGAGGATGCAATACTCCGGGTAGAGTGAACTTGCAACGTGAGTGGGCAGGGCACGCATTGTGATTGGCAAGCCAAGGCGATGGCATCCACTATCCAGTGGGCCATTCTCTGCTTGGAGACAGCCTTCCCCTTCTGCTGGCCTCCATAACAGACAAAGAGCTGTTCTGAGGTCCTAAAGCTTCGTGTTCGGTCCACGTACGGTCACAGAGCGCCGAGGTCTCAGAATTACATGGGAGTCAGCCGGCTCAAACTCTAGGCACAATTTGTCGACTGAAAATGCCTGCAGGTCCCCTACCCTCTTGATGGAAGCCAAAGCAACCAGCAGCAAAGTCTTCATAGATAGAATCTTTAGATCTACTGACTACAAAGGCTTGAATGGGACATTCTGAAGTGCCCTAAGTACCTCACCAGATCCCAAGAGAGCATGGAGGGAGGGCAAGGAGGATTTAACCTTCTTGCCCCCCTGAGGAACTTGACAACCAGGTCGTGTTTCCCTACCGACTTGCCTCCTATGGGGTCATGATATGCAGAAATTGCGGCAGCATATACTTTGAGAGTGGAGGGAGACAGCCTTCGCTCCAACCCATGCTGCAGGAAGGAAAGCATGGCTCTGATTGAGCACTGTCAGGGGTTGTCTCGGTGAGAAGAACACCACTCGACAAACAGGTTCCACTTCAAGGCATAAGCGTGTCTCGTAGACGGTGCTCATGTCGAAGTGATGGTATGCGCTACTTCCTTGGGTAAGGCACCAAGAACCTCTGCGTCCCGTCCATGGACCAGACATGGAGTTTCCAGAGGTCTGGACGCGGGTGCAAGCAACTCGAGGCAGTTGATGTGCCAATGCAGTTGGGGACCCGTCTAAACCCCTGACACTGCATGCCCGTTGTACGTGGCCACCCAGCCGGTGACAGAGGCATCTGTGGATACAACAGCATGCCTGGACACCTGTTCTAGGGGTACTCCTGCCCAAAGAGATGAAGGGTCCGCCCACGGATTGAAGGTTTGGCGACAGGCCAGTGTGATTTTCACCCGGTGAGTGCTGCATTGCCACGCCCAACTTGGCTGTGAAGCCGGTGATGAAGCGGTCTCATATGAAGCAAACTGAGTGGTGTTACTGCCACTGTGGCTGCCATATGCCCCAGAAGCCTCTGAAATAATTTCAGTGGGACTGTCGTCCTGCCTTTGAACGAATTCAAGCAGTTCAACACTGACCTACCACGTTCTTCTGAGGCGTGCTGTCTGTTCGACCGAATCCAGCTCCATCCCAAGAAAAGGGATCCTCTGCACAGACTTTTCCCAGTTGACCTGAAGACCCAACTGGCAGGGGTGACTGAGCGCTAGATCCCTGTGTTCACACAACTGATCTCGTGCCTGTGCCAGTATGAGCCAGTCGTTGAGACAGGTAAGGATGCGAATGCTGTGTTCTGTCACGGGAACAAGGGCCGCCTCCATGACTTTCATGAAAATGCGAGGAGACGGGGACAGCTTGAAAGGCAGGACCTTGTACTAATCTGCTCAACCCTCGAACGCCAAGCGCAGGGACGGCCTGTGTCGAGGGAGAATCGAGACATGAAAGCATGCGTCCTTCAGGTCGCTCGCTGCAAACCAATCTTGGGGGGGATGCATTTGAAAATGCATTTCTGCGTTAATATTTTGAACGGTAGCTTATGAAGGGCTCGGTTCAAAACTCGCAGGTCCAAGATTGGCCGTAACCAATCTTGGGTACACCGCCTTCCTTGGGTACAATGAAGTAGGGGCTGTAGAACCTCTTCATATCGGCTAGAGGGACCGGCCATATCGTGTCCATCACCTGTAGAACTGCGATCTCCGCGCACAGGACATGAGCATCGCCAGCCTTCACTGAGGTGAACTGGATGCCCCTGAACTTGGGGGGACGCCAGGCGAACTGAATCGTATAGCCGAGTCTGATGGTCTGTAGGAGCCAGCAAGATGGGCTGGGGAGCGCTAGCCAGGCTCTCAGAGAACCAGACGTACCCGCAGTGGGGCAGCGAGGTGGAATGCAGGGACCCGGCTCGGGTGGTTAGAGGGCAGTCCGAAGTGGGGTCTGAGTGTGCGGTGCAAGGCTTACCTGGTTCCACGGTTGGGCAGAGGGTGTGTAAGGAGGCCTGGTTGCGCTCTCAAACAGCCCACTGTTGCCCGCTGGCGATAGAGGAGGATGAGAGTGGTACAGTTCTGCGCCGTCCACTGCTCTCCATGCCCTCTTGGGACCCAGAGATAGAGGAAACAAAAGATTCTCCACCCGGCCCTCCCCTGGGGGAGGGAGTGGTGTGGTCACCATCTGTCCCCTCCATCTCTGGGTCGCCCATCTTGGGGCCTCTTACTTTTATGCTTGCAGCCAGGCTTGGCGGGGGCCTGGATGGGCTGAGTACCCTGCCTGTGACCGGCTCCACAACGCTGCTTGGATGGAGGCTGCTGCGGCCGGCAGTCGGGTGGGTGCAGCAGCTGTCCGCCGGGGCAGGATGCGATTAATCACCTCCGTCTGCTTCTATGCAGCTGAGAACTGCTGGTCAAAGCTCTCGACTGTGTTGCCGTAAAAGGCCGGTCTGAGAAACGGGGGAATTTAAAAACCTGATTTTATCGGCAACCCTCAAGTCGGCCAGACACAGCCAGAGATGGCGCTCCTGGACCACCAGTGTGGACATTGCTCGACCCAGAGAAAGCGCAGTGACCTTCTTCATCTCTGGGTCTGATTCGGACAACGCTACCGTTCCTGAGGGAGGCAAGGCAGCCGGATCATCATCCCCTGAGAGAGTGGGCTCAACCTCCAATGCGCAACAATCAACATCTGGTCGTCAGGGGGAGCACCGAAGGATACGGCTGGTACACCTCGTTTAGAAGGTCCAGCGCATTCCTGGGGCAACTCCACTGGCTGCAGAGCACTAGAGGGGTGAGGGGCCCTGGGAGGTTGGTTCCTTGGAGGGGAAGCCCTCACCATAACCCTCAGACCACCCAAACCACTACCCGAAGTAGACCTCCCCTGGCTTTTGCCAGGAAGTGACCCAGATCGAGGCAGAGGCGAGGTAGTGGAGTCTCGATCGCAACTCTGAGATGGTCATCTTCCCACGTGAAGCAGCGATCGTGACAATCTGTCGGCGCCAGGTAACGACCGTATCCAGAAACACACGGGTGGAACGTCATCTTTAAAAAGATGCAACGTCACACCTGTGTAATGCTCTTTTAGGGAAATCACCCTTTTATTAGTGATGAAGCACACAAGGGTAACGGCCACCGCAACACTGGCAGGGATTAGGGCAGTGATCCGCGCTCTCTTTGATCCGCACTCATGAGCTCATGACCACCACTGCAGCGCCGTCACACCAGCATGAAACCAAAAGAGGCTTCTCCTAAAAGAACTGGCTCTTTTAGAAAACACTAGTAGAGATTGGTCTTCGTAGAGCAGAACAGATAAACAGCACTCAGCTCCAAAGTGAAAAGCTGAATATGTGTTGCAACTGCTGCCTATTTATCCCCACGCTGCAGGGCGTGGCAGTCAGATGCAAATACCACATACCAATGTGCATTGGCTCATTTAGTTTACACTCAAAAGTAGATTGGTCTCTCAGGCGAGATTCCCAATTCATCGGTCACCGATGTGATGTCGAAAGGGAACTTCAGTGACTGACTGAAAGGGAACAAAAAATGCATTTTGTGCCAAGCACCAACACAAATCAGAATACTTCTCAAACTTCATATTACAACCCCTACTAAAATAAAATCCATAATATTTTTTCATGTAGTAACAGCCAACACGATATTTTGACAAATGTTTTATGTTGATTCAATAATACTTGTAACAATATAGTGGAGTACACTTCTAAAATTTTGCAATGATGATATATAACAAATTCTCAAATTTGTTAAATGTTGGAATGGAATGAAAAGGGGAATCACAAAATAAGTGCACTGAATGTGTTGTTGATGCCTATGTTAAAATTTCAGATTTTCTACAGTTCTCATTAATTGTCAATACCTCTCTTTCATTAGCAGGTTATGTGTAATTCTAATAGATTTGATTTAGCTTTATTGTCCATTCAGATCGTGACAGTGAAAATTCATCTTTGACACTGACAAACAATCCCAATACACTGACTTATACACGTACACATACAATGAACATAAAAAAAATTATAAATAAAAACTTCTTAATATGTTTATTTGAGCCCAGGGTTCTGCACCCTGAGGGAAGGGCATCAAAAAGCAGGAATGGAGATGATGAGTCTGATCTGAATATACTGCAGTTCCCTTTTTTTCCACGAAAAGTAAAAAAAAAAATCCTGCAATGTATTCTGTTTCTGGCTGCTGATCTCATTTGCTTTCTTAATGACTAGTGTTAGCTTATTTATTTTGTTTCACTGTTGGACTGCCATATATGTTAGAGAATACTTTCAATCATTGATCTGTAAACCATGGTTATGGTCCCCCTGTCAATTTTAAAATATATTAGTTTAGAATGATACTACCTTAGTATTACCAGTTTACAATGAGGATTCCCCAATCCAATAGAGAGCTTCTTCACCCCTGTGTCTTGAAGATTGTTGTAACTTAGGTTCAGCTCTCTCAAACAAGATGAAACTGAGCTGAGAGCTGATGCCAGGGCTTCACAACTTTTGTGTGTAAGCTGACAATTCCCTAGCCTGAGGAGAAAAATACATTATACATAATTCTAGTCATACTGCAATTTTCTGTGGAAAAAAGTACACCACATTTACTGTCTGAAAACGTTCACTTACAATGATTGACATTGGAGAGATTAAAAGGGACTGTCTCCTAATGGTTTAAAAAAAAAAAAAACAGTCATTCATCATTCAAAAAGTGTTTTCAGGAATGTCTCACCTCAGTGTCTCCAATTTACAATGAGAACTCTTCAGTCCAGCAGACAGCAAATTCACTCCTGAATCCTGTATATTATTTCCATTCAGGTTCAACTCTCTGAGATTTGAGGATTTTGAGCCTAAAGCTGATGCCAGACATTCACAACTTCTCTCTGTCAGCTGGCAATAATAAAACCTTGAAAAGAAAACATTATGATTCATTCTCCGTAAACAGTCCAGTCTCTAGTTAATTCCAAAATGTGTTTAAATGCTTAAAATGTTTAAATACTTAGGAATACTTAAACACTACTTGAAGTAATCTGTGATTGCAAAGTACATAAATGTTTTACTCATCAGTAATATCATTTTACTAATTTATTTTTCCCCTGGAAAGCTAACAGTTAAATTTACAGAAACCGACTGTTATTGCAATTCCAAAACTCATGGTCAGGATTAAAGCTCATGAAAAAGCAATGTCTCAAAGCGGAGACATTTATTTTGAGTTTGATTTAATGACAAAATAAATATATTTAAAAATGCTTACAAAGCTATCCTGGATGCTTCAATTACAGGCAAAAGTCTAAGAAGAACTTCTTCTGATGTGCTGTATGTACCAGCATCATATTCACTCAGGTCAAAAACATCCAGCTCTCGCTCTGAAGTTAGCAAAACAAAAGCCACTGCTGACCACTGAGAAGGGGAGAGTTTGGGTTCTCTTATGGTTCCAGACTTAAGATATTGTTGGATATCCTCCACCAAAGATTGGTCATCCAGCTCATTTAGACAGTGGAAGAGATTGATTGATTTTTCTGGTGTGGGGTTGTCCATCACTTTTTTCTTGATGTACTCAACTATTTTTTGTTTATCATGGGAACAGCCTCTTGTTGTCTGTTTCAGTAGGCCTTGCAAAAGTCTGTGGTTGGACTCCAGTGAGAGACCCAGAAGAAAGCGGAGGAAAAGGTCAAGATGTCCATTTTGACTTTGCAAAGCCTTATCCACAGCATCTTGAAGTAGGTCAGATATTGAAATTGAAGCATCAGAGAACATGGTTTGTTTTGATATGCTGTCTAACATGTTTGTTTTATGATTCATGAAGGAAAGGTAAACATATAAGGCTGCTAGATGTTCCTGAATGCTCAGATGAACAAAGCAGTACACTGCCCCCTGGTAAAGCCCTGATTCTTCTCTGAAGATCTGAGTGCACACTCCGGAGTACACTGATGCCTCTTTCACATCAATGCTACATTCTCTGAGGTCTTCCTCATAGAAGATAAGATTACCTTTCACAAGCTGTTGAAAAGCTAGTTTACCCAGTTTGAGGATCATGTCTTCATCTGTCACCTTCTTCTCATAGTCCTTCTGATGGTGGACACACTTAGAAGGAATAAGATCAGCTGTTGCTGGTCTGGAGGTGATCCAGATGAGAGCAGAAGGAAGCAGATTCCCTACAATCAGGTTCGTCAGCAGCACATCCACTGAGGCTGATTCACTTACATCACACAATCGCATATTGTTCTGAAAATCCAGGGACAGACGACACTCATCCAGACCATCAAAAATAAGACAAACTTTATATTCATCATTGAGTATTTCCATTTCGTTTGTTTCCATGAAAAAGATATGAAGAAGTTCTACGAGACTAAGCTTTTGGTTCTTCATAAAATTGAGCTCTCTGAAAGGAAGTGGAAATATGAGCTGGACGTCCTGATTCTCTTTCCCTTCAGCCCAGTCCAGGATGAACTTCTGCACAGAGACTGTTTTTCCAATGCCAGCGACTCCCTTTGTCAGCACAGTTCTGATGGGTTTGTCTTGTCCAGGTAAAGGTTTGAAGATGTCATTACAGTTAATTGGTGTGTCTGCTTTCTCTCTTTTCCTGAATGCTGTCTCAATCAGTCTGATCTCATGCTCATTATTAACTTCTCCATCTCCACCTTCTGTGATGTAGAGCTCAGTGTAGATCTCATTCAGGAGTGTTGGGTTTCCCTGTTTTGCTATTCCCTCACACAAACACTGAAACTTCTCTTTCAGGTTTGATTTGAATTTCCCATGAACTTTAGAACGACCAGGTTTTGATGTACCGCTGTTACCAGGTTTTGAGGTACCGCTGTAACATGAATGTATAGTAATTACTTCTCTGATGACTTCTAATATTTATGTTTATGCCAATGACAATCAAAATAAGAACATGATATGAGTACTAAGACATATATGAAATACAGTACATTTTTGTTATGGTCTAAGCTTGAGATTAGGGCTGGGCGATATATCGAATATTAGCGATAATATCGCAATAATTTTGATGACGATGTAAAATTTGAAAATATTGTGAATATCGAATATTTCAAATTCAAGCATACTTTCCCAAAAGAACGTGCCGAATATCCAATATTACGTCCCCTTACATATTACCGCACAAGAGACGTGAGGAGGGACTTTTTTTTTTTTTTTACACATTAGCAAAATGGAGACTAGTGTTAATTTCGCTAATAAAAAATATGACGAAAAATGTTCTTTGACGAGCTTTTTTCCCATAACTAAGACGAAACGAAGACGAGACAACAATAAGGTCAATAAACAAAAACTAAGACTATATCAACATGCAATTTCGTTGATGAAAAAAGATGAGACTAAAATGTATTCAAAAGAATAACACGCTTTCATGAGTGCGGTTGCCAGATATCAAGAGTTCAAATCCCAGAATCAGAGCTTCACTGTTTTTTGCTATTTTCTACCTGGTGTTTTGCTTATTTTAAGCAATCTGGCAACCATGTGCACACGCTCGCTCCTCATTGCGGAAGCGCCGCCGCCGATGATCTGAAAACACCAACAAACAAGCTGGAGTTAAATGATCAAAATGGAAGTGTCACTCAACCACGAGAGAGTGCATAAGTGTTTGGTATTAATTTATATATATATAAAGCCTATATTGAATCGGTACACTAGATGAGGTAAAATAAACCATGTATGAGTCCACATTCTATTGATTTGTGCTCATGGTGGTGGAGCATCCATTGACAGACTTGTGTTCTTAGCTAAAAACCTGTAAAATAAATACTTATCCCAGTTTAATTATTTCCCCCAGTTGCAGAGTGTAAATTGTGAATTGCATGTACTAAAAAAGTTGACAGAATGCACTTTCTGTACTTGTTTTGCACTACTTCAGTTACATAGCCTATACATGTGTTCATTTAATAAAAAGCAGTAAGTGATCACTTGGTCTAGATTTTTTTTAACTGCTTAAATTTGCACTAAACATTTTGTATTTACTTTGTAACAATAGCTGTTCTATCTAAATTGTTTTTGTTGTTTTTTTAATGGGGGCAAAAGAAAATCATGTTTTTTTATTATTTAAAAGCAAGAGATATATATCGAATGTTGTAAAAAAATTTGACAATATCGAGATATAATTTTTTTTTATATCCCCCAGCCCTACTTGAGATAAAAAAAACATGATATAATTATCACACAATCGGCAAAACGCAATTCGTCACATATGATCACAGTGACTTCTGTGAGATCCATATATATATATATATATATATATACACAGTGGTGTGAAAAAGTGTTGGCCCCCTTCCTGATTTCTTATTTTTTTGCATGTTTGTCACACTTTGTTTCAGATCATCAAACAAATTTAAATATTAGTAAAAGATAACACAAGTGAACACAACATGCAGTTTTTAAATGAAGGTTTTTATTATTAAGGGAAAACTACATGGCCCTGTGTGAAAAAGTGTTTGCCCCCTAAACCTAATAACTGGTTGGGCCACCCTTAGCAGCAACAACTGCAATCAAGCATTTGCGATAACTTGCAATGAGTCTGTTACAGCGCTGTGGAGGAATTTTGGTCCACTCATCTATGCAGAATTGTTGTAATTCAGCCACATTGGAGGGTTTTAGAGCATGAACCGCCTGTTTAAGGTCATGCCACAGCATCTCAATAGGATTCAGGTCAGGACTTTGACCAGGCCACTCCAAAGTCTTCATTTTGTTTTTCTTCAGCCATTCAGAGGTGGACTTGCTGGTGTGTTTTGGATCATTGTACTGCTGCAGAACCCAAGTTCGCTTCAGCTTGATATATATATATATATATATATATGTGTGTGTGTGTGTGTGTAAATCCTTCCCTTTACTCAGCTCACTCAGAATGGTCAATAGCAAAATATAATTTTCCACATGAATGCAAGTGATATTCAGTCATGTTTGGTATCATGAAATGTCTCAGTGCGACTGGTACAATGGTGTCAATCTTACAAGAAGTAAACTGAAATGTAATGATTCTAAGAGTTTAGAAATATTTTGCTTACTGTGCCATTTCCCAGTGTCTTACATACAAACTATTGTCTGTCCCCAAAATGTCTGCTAATGTTAATCCAAATTCCAATTGTCCCCATACTAATCGTAAATTGGTACATTTGATATTATCCTGACTTACTCTAAAAGGATTGCCTCTAGCAGATCATGTTGTATCTGCAAATCTGCGTCCAGGGTACATATTTGATCTCAGGTTAGATCAGTGGTTCTCAAGCTTTTTTTCCACCGGGCCGCACTATGGTCCAAGTGCAAGTCTCGCACAGAAAAGTCGCCTCTTTTTCCGAATTGCGTAGATGACCACGATCTTTCTTTCATCTCTTCTGATACATTTTCAATCAAATCGTTTTCTGTGTGCTAGATCAGAGCTAGAGCCCTGCATCTCAGCCCGGGCCCGACGGGCCCCGACTTTTTTACGCCCCTCGGGCTGGACTTCGGGACCATTTTCACGTCATAGTTCAGGCAGGGCCTCGGGCCTGTTTTAGGCTTCTCCTTATTTTTATATTTTAGACATCCATCAATTAGTGATGAACAAGAGTGGCTCGACGGTGTTTAGTGTCCAGCAGCAGCATGTATGGTGTGTGCCGTCAGCACAGCTGAAGAGTTCTGCGTTCAAATGCACGCAATTTAGTACATTTTTAAATTAATGTAAAAACTAAAATGAATTGTAAAACTGAAAGTAATTTTTTAAAATTGTGTTCAGCATGGTGGGCCGCATTTGAATTCGTGACGGGCCGCGGGTTGAGAATCACTGGGTTAGATGGAGCATCAGGCGAAATTCTAGATTTCTGAATAACTGCTTGGCTTTAGTTAAGTTGTTATGCAGCTGCATTCACTATGGGCTACTAGACAAAAATACAACTGAAATAATAGCAAGCATGGAGCATATTTCGTAGTACTAGCCTTATTCAAGTTGTTATATAGTTATTTTAACTATAAAGGGTTAGGCAAAATGCTATTGAAGTATTAGTAGCTAGCATGGAGCAGTACTAGTCATAACCTATGATTATTGTTTGAGCTTTAAGTTGTTACATAGGTGGCTGTAGGGGCTAAATGGAAGTACTTTTTAAATAATGGCAGGCATGGGTGGCCTATTAAATAGTATTACTCATAACCTCTGGTTATTGATCAGACTGGTGAGTTTGTGACTGTGAGATCCGCGTATTTAGCTGACACGAGACTCAGAGTGACACTGGAATCCGGATGAATGAATAAAAAAAATAGGAGTTAAATAGGATAATTAAATGTCTAGAAGAAAATTTTATAAATGACCAGTGATCAATTGGCATTCAATTGGCAATTTTTCCCCCTAATATTTAACCATTAAATATAGCCATTCAACATTACAGTATAATTGAGAGCAATGTTCCCTCTAAACTGCGTGAAGAAATAATGTGCCATGCACACGCAAAAATGACTTGGGAAAGCCATTTGATTGAATTCTAGTAAAAACGAAAGAATTGTAATACTCGGGCAAACCGCTATAGAGTTGATATCGCTATAGAGTTAGAACCGGTGAATGCGGTTTACAGGTTTCATAGAAAGAGAATGATGTGAGCCAAATGAGTCGCTGTAGAAACCGAATACTTGAGACGAAATAGCTCAAATTGAGAGCCAACGCAAACGCAATGACATGTGAAATAAAACATCCCTATGTATTAAAGAAGAGTGGATTGATTAAGTGCTGAAAATAGTGGAGGATGGGAACAGAACGGTAACAAAACTCTGAGATATTTAGTCACACACAGGTGTATTGCTGCAAACTGTACTTCATAGGGATGTTTAGATAACTATATAAGAATTCACATATTCACATTACAGATATCAGTTTAAGTTTTGCTTCAGTTTGTTTTCTATTCTATTCTATTCTACTCTATCAGTTTAAATGCTTTAGTTTGTTTTGATATTATATTATATTAGGCCTATATTAGGTCTAATATAGTCTCTTGCTCATCAAGGCTGTATTTATTTCAAAAAGATATTTTTCTAATTTTTCTAATTTTCTAGGAATTTCTAATATTGGTTTCCTATTTTAATACCTATACTTTAAAATATAATTTATTCATGTGAAGCAAAGCTGAATTTTCAACATCATTAATCCAGTCTTCAGTGTCACATGATCCTTCAGAAATCATTCTCATATGTTGATTTATTATCAGTGTTGCTGATCTAATATGCTGATTTACAACAGTGAAACTGTTGTGCTGCTTAATATTTTTTGGAACCTTTGTTACTTTTTTCTTTGAATCTTTGATTCTTTGATTAATAAAAAGTTAAAAAGAATAGCATTTATTCAAAATAGAAATATTTTCTAACAATATAAGTCTTTACTATCA